GACCCAGAGAGGGAGAGGAGCTGTGTGCTGACGACTGGGGCGCAGGCTTGCAACCAGCCTTTGGTTGGTTGATGATGCATGGAGGGGATTGTAACCATGGCAATGAAACTATATATGATAGGATGAATGTAAATCTAATGTTCTCCTGTGTAAACTATCACATAATTCACAATAAAACATTAAAAATAAATAAAACATAATATAAAGGTAAAAAACACACACACATATATATTGCAGTAAAATGCGCAAAGACCTACAGTTAGGAAATCAAAAGGGAAGAACACACTCAGCATTTCTCAAGCTGAGGGAGCTGAAGAAAATATTCAAACCTCGGTATTGAAGGGTTCTATGGACACATTATTGAATGATGCAGAAAGCATCAAAAGAAGATGGAAGGAATCCACAGAGTCACTGTAACGCTCATGATAGCAGCCTTGTTTTCTATGATATCACTTCTAATTCTGTTTTACCAACGACCTCCATGTTGCCAATAAGTCTTCATCTGACTTAAATTGCTAGCTGCAATGGCCCCCACTTAGCCACCCACTTTACTTTGTCCTCCTTCTCTTGGCTTCTAGGAAATCCCACTGTAATGGCTTTTATCCTCCTCTTTGGTCTGTCTCTTGTTTGTTCTCCTAACCATTTAACTTTCAGATGTTCACAGCTTAGTACCTAGACCTCTTTATTATTCACATTCATCTCTTAATGTGATCTATAGACTCTCAGAGCTTTATGTTCCATCTCAATCCTGACATGCAATTTTTACAATACCTGGACTTCCTCCCCAAACTACACTTGCATGTCAAGGTATCTGGGGGCTCTTCTCTGACACCAATTGCTAATGCAGTTTTTTCTCCTCACCATAGCTACCTGGAGGGAGGCTAGATCTCAAGCTATAAAGGGCACAGTGCTCCAAATTGCCAAATCTGCCCAAGACTTCAGACACCAGTTACATGTCTGGGGGCCCCAACAGCACCCTCACTTCTGACCTGCTAGCTACAAATTTGGGAATTCCTAATACGCTCTTGAATCAACAGCTGTAAGCTCAGGGGCCTTAAGGCCCCCTTTACCTCTGTCTTACTCTCTACAAATTTTTGGATCCCTACTAACTTACTTTATGTTTGATAAGTCACTAGAATGACTCACAGAACTCAGGAATGTGCTATAGATGCAATTACAGTTTTATTATAGCAAAATGTGTACAGATAAAGAGACTCGTAGAATGAGGTCTAGGAGGTTCCAAGGGATATGTCACCCTCCCATGCATTACCAACGAGAAAATTCACCTGAGCTTCAGTGTTCAGAGTTTTTACTGGGGTTTCATTAAGTAGGCCTGACTGATTGATCCTGTCCACATGGTTAAACTCAATCTATAGCTATGCACCCCTTCCCGAAAGTTGGGTTGATATCAAGTAATAGGTCTTTTTGACATTGCTAGCCCCATCCAAGGAGTCCTGGTGGGGCGCTGTGGGTTAATGCGCCAGACTGCAAAGCCATTTGAACTGCAAGGTCGCAGTTCAAGCTCACCAGCTGCTCCTTGGAAACCCTATACAGGGTCGCTATGGGTCAGAACCAACTCAATGGCACTTAACAACAACAACAAAGCCCCATCCAACACAAGTCATCTCGTTACCATAAACTCTTGGAGGTGATCTGGAGCCCCTCCCTGACTCCAACCAAATACTATGGATATCCCAAAGGTTTAGAGATTACTTCCCAGGAGCCAGGGACAAAGACCATGATCTTTGGGTAGAGTTAATCATATACCCCACAGATGTCTAATAGGTGCTTTACATATTCAAAATGGAGATCCTGACTGTCTTTTTCAAACATGCTCTCCTCATATAGCCTTC